TGGCCCCTGCCCCATGGATGGTGGCCCCTGCCCCATGGCTGGTAGCTGCTGCCCCACACACGGTGGCTCAGCAGGAGCCTGGTGGGAAGGCCACGGGGCCGCTTTCTTCTTCTTCAAGATTACATTTTATTATAAATTTTTGGAAGATCACCTTTGCCACCCATTTAAAATGAATAAATTTATCCTGTTTCTGTGATAGATCTGAGGTGACTTTGGTTACCCCATGAAGAGCTGTCATGTTCGATTGGGGTACCCTCAGTATACTGGAAAACAAAATGAGGTAATTCATCAGCTAAATTAAATGAAACCCCATATTAGCATATAATATAACAAAATTCCTTTTCAAAATTTGCATACCAGCTGATCAAGTGCTGCTTTTTAATTTAATTGGGTGAGATAAATTCTTATGTGTATTAGGCTGTAAAATTCTAAATTACATTTTTTATAAAAGGTGTTCGCCTACAGTTTTATTGCTAGGTGAATTCTGGCAGGTTACATTTACAGTTTTATTGCTAGGTGAATTCTGGCAGAGTCGTTGGCGAAGCCTCTCTTCTCACTTAGACCCGTCCTACGTCTGTGCCCCCTGTGCCTGGGGCCGGTCGGTGGGTTCCTGCCGGGGTTTCCAGCCCTGGATCCCTCTGTTTGGAAGCAGAAATATTGGGGAAGCGGCACCAGCAGCCGTCAGCAGGCTCGCGATAGGAAGATTATTATGCATTAACTTTAAAGAGTTAGAAATGTATAATTTATGGCTATTTGGTGGATTTTGCAAATCTCCCAGTTGTGTACAGTTGCTAATCTGTATGACATGATGGAAAACAAATCTCGGAAATGCTGTCATTTGGGTTTGTGGCAATCAAAAAACTGCAGTTTTAATGCAACTTCTCTGTCTGATGTTTAGGAGAAAATCCTAGTCCTATATTAAAAACATTAAACTGTCTGGGCTTCTTATAAATATTAATTTACCAAACACACAAACGTCTGTGACATTTCCTTCAGTAGAAGGGATTAGCTTTAATTTTGCTTGCTTGTATCACGGCACATCAAAGCGAATCACTGCACGTTGGCTTTTGTAGTTCTATATTTCATAAATTTTCCTTTAATATGCCATGTCTTTATCGATAAACACAGTAAGGTAGTCGAGGAAATAGGTGCATCTGCTTTGCCAATGTTAGTTCAGGCCTCGTTTCCTTAATGACTGATTGACGTCAGTGTAAGGACCTGGGCGATGGTTTGTTGTGCTGGTTGTGTACTTTTGGTCTGGATGTTTTAAAAATCCACCATTCTTATCTGCGACGTGTCTGCGTGCTGGTGCACGGGCTCTTTGCTGCTTTTGGAATATTTATCTAAAATATATTGGCAGCAGCTGCCGTTGCCCAGGGCACCCGTGTGGGAAGGGATGGAGCTCCCTGGGCGTTTTGCCACCGCCTCTGCCCGAGCGTCGCCCGCCCCCGAGTCCCCCCTGTGCCCTGCCTTAGTGCTGGCTTCATGTTAACACGCTGATTTACATTATAATTAAGAACGAGTAAGAGTCTATAAGGGAACTCGACGCTCATAAGTAATACAAAAGTAATGCTGTTTTAAATAAATTTCTGCAGATAATTGAGTGTAACTATCTGACTATCAAACAGCTTGCAGTCCCCACTTGTGATGGAGGGCCTTTTGAGGAGGGTACAGTGCTGCTGCTGTTGGCTGTGCTGGGGGGGCTGTGTTTGTGTCCCATCTTTCACTGGAGAGACCTCCCTTCCCACCACTGCCCCGTTTGTTCTGATGCAGGCTGTGACAGTACATACCCACAGATGAGCTGCGTAACGGGGGTACCTCATCTTTGCCATCTGATACCTCGTATAAAAGCAGAACTATGTTGTTGGTCAGAATATCCCACATTTTTCTGTGAAATAAAATAGCAGTTTAGCCAATAAGGATACGACGTGAAGGAAGAAGGTGCTGAGGGGACAGAATTCCTTCTCTTCACCTCCTTGTCTCTTGGTTAAGAGAAGTAAATCACAGCAAATGCAAAGAATACTTTTCAGCTCCGCCTGTGCTCCTGATGGTTTGTCTGGGACAAAGCTCCTGCTGAGGGACACCTACAGTCAGAGGGTTTGAGCTTCTTGCAGTCAAGGCTGATTTTGGGCTGTAGCTATGAATCTCTAGGTAATTTTTCTGCTACCAAATAAATAACATCATCCAAATTCTTTATTAGTTATTTTAGTGTCAGAAATGCTGGAGAGAAGCTCATTTGAGTGACAGAAGGAGCCACAGATAGAGGCCTCCCATTCGTGCCCATGGCACGATCTTGCAGCACTTACTCACAGCTGTACTGCAGCTGAATTGGGAAGGAATCTGCTCGTCTGTCCACACCGTTTTCCTGAATCTCCCACTTATTTTGGACTTTACAGCTTGCCTCACACTTGGCAGTTTTAATTGCACCTATCTCAGTGCACAGGTGAGGAACCCGCATGGTGCCACAGGACTTTGATTAGTGGATGTGGGTAACGCTGGCTCCGCAGCTCTAACGAGCAGGCGAGCGCCCTGGGGACCTCGGGCCAAGCAAGTCCATGGAATTTGGTGGATTTTCCCTGCCTTTCCCTCCCAAAGGCTGCTCCTCACACAACTGACTGCGCAGGAGGCATTGTCGAGCACCAGGTGTGTGTTCAGAAGCTCTTTGAGTAAGGGCCCAAGAAGGTCCTTGTGATGGAGCAGCATCAGAACGTGTCCCTAAGCTTCCCTGTAGCCCAACAAGCTGCTCACATTCTCATCACGTCAGAAAGAAGTTTAATAACTAATTATGTTCACTGGAGTGGGAGAAGAGGGAGGTGGTGGTTGGGATGCAATTGTGGAACTCACTGAATGGTGAGAAATTGTTTGCTGAGAAATGCTCTGCTTTCCCATGATTTTTGCAGTGTCAGTGTCTTGATGTTCTGTTAAATTCCTTACTCTGAAAATATTTATCTTAATTAGTTATTATAGCTAGAGACTAATTGTCTAATTTCTTTTTTTTTGAGTTGTTTGTTGGCGAGCAAACATAAAACTGCTCCGAACCTCTAAGAGTGTGACTGGGGTAATTAGTGACAAGTGAGAGATAATAAGCCATTTGAAAAGGCGTTACAGGTTTTTCTCTGCTCCTCTCATCTGAGAGCTGGAACAGACTTCGTTCAAACCAGCGATAACAGCCTGTCGTCGGAATAAAGCAGCATTTTGATGAAGTTCAGGTGCTGAGCTACTGCCCCTCTCCCAGATGGCATGTTGTGGACCCCACCACTGATGGGACAAGGGGGCACAGAGCCCATCCTGCCAGAGGGGCTTGAAGTGGTGTCCCCGCTCCTCCTCACCCTCTTCTTCCTCAGGGTGGGTGGTTGTGTTGGCCACACGGCCTCCCCCAGACCTGCCTTCAGCATCTCGTCTTATCACTAAACGTTTTGGTTGCACAAGGTACTGAATGTGTAACACAAAATTCTGCTTAAAGAATAAAATGAAACAATTGGACTTGTATTGGAAAGACAAGTGATTTTTTCTTGATAATCAACACTGAATTTCAGACTATACAAATGCCATTATCGCTAGAAGACCAGTAATAGCATGGGTGTTTCTTTCCTGAAGTACCTCATGGTATTATAAATATATATATTTATATATCTATATATGTCTTGTGAAATAGGAAAATGCTGTTTCTTCCCAGATTATGTGATAGAAAAAGGTTAAATATCCCACAGCCGTACATGAAGGCTGTTGTGGATGTGGGGCTTGCCCAGGGTGTCCCAGTTCAAGACAAATGCCTTGGGCTGCTTGTCTTCTTGGCTCTCAATCAACTTTAAAAAAAAAGAAAAAAGCAGGTTGAAAAAGAGGAAGAAAAAATCAAGCAAAGTATTTTTTCAGTAGGTTTTTTTTCTGCTCCAGGTGACACTAAACATAAATCATGAATTATTTCTGGCTTAAAAATTGAGAATATTTTAATAAAATTAGCCTACTTAGAGGAGGTACTCATTTTCTTGTTATGAGAGAAAAGCTAAAAGAAATTAGGCTTCAAAGGAACCCTCATCTTCCATCAGAGATGTATAATTTGGGTTTAGCACCTGTGTGGTTGCCGGGAGCGTGAAGGGTTGAGGTGTTTTTGCTCACTGAGTCCTGGGTTTCTCTGGCCTCACTGTACCATGTCGCAGACTGTCCATGGAAGGGTGGTGGCACCTCTGGTGTACGGGGCAACTTCAGCTGGAGTGGAACACATCTGGAGAAATCACCCGCTCAGAACTCTCTTGGTCTCAGAAAGAGAGGAGGAGGCTGGGAATGCGAGGCACGGGATGCTTGTTATCTGTACAAGAAATTTCTAGGGTAAAAAATGCCGTAATGGGAACAGTACCTGAAGCTCAAACAGAAAATGAGATGTTGAAAACTGTTGAGTTGTGTCTTGCAAGTTCCAAAGGGGAAAGTCTTCCTGCCTGTATTTCTCTGATTTCCTGCAGCTGGAAGAAGAAAGGTCAGAGGGGGTGAGGTGTATTTCTGTAGCCACAGCTGACATTTTTAGAGTCACCGGATGGTATTTAGACCTGGGCGACAGAAAATGCTGTGGTGTGAGCTTTCGAAGGAAACAGTTTTACTTTTAAATCTATGAATCAATGGGGAATTAAATATAAATATAGGATTAAATTCTAAGTTTGGAAATGTTTGCTATGTGCAGACATGGGTGGCACTGGGACAGGAATCAAGAGGACAGAAAGAGCTGGTTACCCAAATGAGCTCCTCCTACGGACTTGACTTTCCCTGCTCCGGTTCTGTGGGATTTTCTTGGGGTTTCAGGTGATGGGGCAACAGATGTTGGATGTAACAGTTTTTTGCAGACCAGTGTGACTCAGGAAGGGAAGGGGAGCCAAGGGGAGGTACAACTAATAGATTCCCACTGTATTATGTAAATGCTATCAGTTATTTAAAAATATTCCCCTCTTCCTACTTCCCCTGGATGGAATAAAAATGTCTTTTTTGTTTTGTTTTCTTTGTTTCTCTGACAGAGTTACCATCAAACCAAGGGAGAATTTCGATCTTCACGCCACCACAAGAAAGGGACGCTATAAAAGGTACCGTGTTTCTGCAGTTCCTCACAAAGACTCTGAGTATTTTGCTGCTTTGTCATTGTGTATGTTCTTAAATCATTGTCCTTTTATTCTTTTAAGTTATCTTTACATCTCTCAGATGTTCCATGCTATTGAGGGCCTACTGAAATTTGTTTTGAAATAGTGATAGAATGGTTGAGGGGCAGAAAGAAGGAAATACCCGTGATAAATCCTAAACCTGTGGAAGTAGGGCAGGAATCTCCATAATTCTGAGGCAGTGGTGAGGGCCAAACTCGAGGGTTAGCTGAGGAAAACAGGGATGACTGTTTTCTTTCTTGTGATTGACACCATCTCGGATCCACGTCTCCCTCCTTCTGCTGTGGAAACCCTTGTTGAGTTTCCTTCTACCCCTGAAGGGATGGCCCTCCCTGGGGCCACATTCACAGCGGGTGGACTCAAAGCCTTCCCTTCCTTAGCCCAGGCTCTCCTGAGGTTGTTTTAGATCAAAGGCTGTGGTCATGTCCCACATCCCACCTCTCTGCAGTGATCTCATACTCTGGAGATGAGTCTTCCCTGCTCCATCCCCTCCCTCCCTCTCAGCCTCTCCTGAGAAGAGCAGCCCACTCTCTGCTGCTTCCAGGGGCACCACGAGCATCTTCAGCTGCTGTGAACTCCCTTTGGCACTTTGCGGCGCCTGTGTTAGATCTGGGGGCTTGGTGGTGACTAATGGCATCAAATATTGAAGTGTTCTGCTGTTTGCTTTCCTGAAATATTACTCCCTTCTGTGTACTGCTTTGTTTTTCTCAGTGTAGGTGGATTATAATTTTAGCCAAGCATTCTTCAAAAAATAATCCTCTGAATAACAAGTATCGTGTTACTGATTTTTATAAAGTTCTTTCAATTTTCATTTGGTTATTTTTAAACATTATCCCTTTTATATATGTCATATATACACTGAAAGTGTATATATACACTGTATATATACACTTATATATACATATATACACTGAAAGTGTATGTATCCCCTTTAAAGTTTCAAACTGTTTGCTGGAAGGATTCTCAACAGAGTTTGCATTGTATTTACTGTCTGAATTGTTTGCTCCTTACCTGTTACTCATAGAGCCTTAATGAAATGAGTTAAAAGTATTTATTTTAGCTGGAATCCATTCCTGTTTATACAGTGCAGGATTTGCATTTTGATATAATAAAGGGAATTTGTTTTAAATATTTGAAGTGGTTAGACAGTTAAGGCAAAATTACTATTTTTTCCACTTGGCACAGCAAAACGGTCATTAAAAGGGGATGTTTGAATGGAAAGTTGGTTCTTGAAGCAGATCTTCAGTGATCTGGAAGAAATACTTCTTAAGTAACTGTAATTAGGCATTAGTGATAACTGCATTCCTGGAAAGAAGAAATATTATTGATGGGCGATACAAGCTACAAGAAGCATTAAGATTTAGTTAAAGCCATCAAAGCAGGCAGCCTTGGGAAGGATGAGCACAGTGTCTGACCACATCTACCTGGAGGAAAATGACCTGTCCAGAAGGCTATTGATGGTGGCCCCGTGAATCCGATACTTTCCCCAATTTCGACTGATTTTCACGTCTGAGCCAACCTCCGCACAGAAGAAGGAGTTTACCCATGGTGGTTTGTCCACCTGAACTGGAGACTCATGCTGAGGTGAAATTCAGGGCAGGTTTTACGGGCAGGAGAGAGGGAGAGGGACCAGGGCAGCCCTGGAGGCTCTGGCTCTGGAGCTGAACCTCTAGTTTCAGGCTCTGCTCTTCTCGCTGTTTCTCTAGTTTCCTCTAGTTTCAGGCTCTGCTCTTCTCGCTGGAGTTTTCCTGAAGGAGTCGTTCAGCCCGAAGGAAGAGCTACCCACAAAAACTGAGCCCCAAATGTTTACATTTTGATGGAGCTACAAGCCAATGAATATAAAGCTCTTACAATAAAGATGTGAATCTTAGTTGTGAAAATTGCTACCTGCAGTGATGTAATAAATACAATTCTTGATAAATGTATGAATGTGACATTTCACAGAGGAAGCGTAACGCTGCCTTTCTGCTTCACGCAAGGGGAGATCTAAAAGAGTAAAGAAGGATTGAGCCTGGAGTAATCAATGGGGTTACGGCAGCATCTTGATTTGCCCAGTGACAGGAGCGAGACGGGTCCTGGCCATGGTTCTCTGCAGGCTCTTTTGGCTGCCAGTGTAACCCAAGGGGAGCCAATGCCCTTGGCTGATGGAGCAGAAGGTGCTTCTGGGTGATACTGATTTCTGCTGGGAGGACCAGAGAAGAGCTGGGGTCTGTTGGCAGCCCCCGAGACACGGTTCCTGCCCCACAAACAGCAGCCGTGCTCCGGAGCAGGAGGTCTCTGTGGTGCCACAGACTGTCCCCTTGGCAGTGTCAGGGGGACACCACGTGCCCAAATCCATCCCAGGGAATGAAGAGCCCCTCTGAGACTGTCATTAAAAGGGAGCTGGATTTCCTGCCTTTGTATGTTTATGCATGAACTGGGTGATTATTCAAGACATCAGATGAGCTAAATGCTTTTCTTTTGCTCACATATTATTTATTAGTTCTCAAATGCATGTTTGCCTTGTACTACTAAAAGGCTGTGGCATTAATCAGCACAAACTTGGATCGCATCCTGAGCTTCCAAGGGTGAAATGAACTTGGATTGCATTTGGAATTTGCAGATGCTGAACAGCCAAGGGGCTGTTGCTGCCCACTTTGAACCTGCAGAGCTGCAGATCTCTAGCCTGGTCTGATGGAGTAGGTGCTTTGGTTCCAATTTTAGTGTGGTGGAAAAAATTACTTGATTTAGAATGAGACAGATGTTACCGGAGAGAATTAGAGCTCGTGGGGCTCGTTCTGGTTCTTCCCTCCTTTTGTGTTGCTTTAATCTCCTCTTCATTGATACCGTCCCTGGTTTAAAGCAACGTGAGGTCGAAATCTGGTTGTTTTTAATGAGAGCAGTTGAAATAGGGGAGAGTGATGTGGCAGGGCTGGTGGGTAAGCAGCTAATAAAATTCATTTGATTTAGTAGCTTCAAGAATTAAACATGAATATTGACATTCTTTTCTTTCCTGTTTACACTGGTGTTTTCAGCTCCTGGTGGAGCAATAGAGCAGCCACACAACCCACGCGGTCTGACGGGGAGAGCTGAATAAGACACACGTTTAGGAAAGCAGACAAGGGGGTTTGTTTGCTTTTTTTCTTCTGAAAGGAGTAAGAAAACCGTAGGGAAGGTGCTTGCTCTGAACACTTCAGAACTGTGAGGGTTTTTCCCTAGCAATGCCAGTTTATTTATTGGCATGTAAAATGCTATGGGAGATATTAAGTATTTGGTTCAAATGGCCTAAAAGATCTATTTCCTTTTGATGCATTTATTTGCATTAATCTTAAAAATAGTAATTGGAAATGCCCTCATAAACCCTGAGATTGGAGCCCTAGAATTAAAAACCATTCGTTATTACCCAGGAATGTAGCGATGCGGTTTTATTAGCCTTTCTTCTGCTGTAATCTACGGATCTCATTTAGCTGCACAGAGCCCTGTTCTGCTGAAACATAAAAGGAAGGAAATCTCTCAATAGCCTGAAATCAAATTATCTCTCTGTGTTAATCTACATGTAAAACACCCGAGCCCACTTCTTTAAAGGAAAATAGTTTCACTGATAAGCAAGCCTAGACTCTGTGCTGTGGGTACAAGAATTAAGTGGATTTTTTTTTTCTTTTTTTTTGTCTGCAGAGTACTATTTATAGCATCAATTAACTCCTCGTGGTTGGGATAAGTCATTTGACACATCTGTTGCTGAGCTTAAACACTCGCCGTTTGGTGGGGTCACGCTTGGATTATTTCCCTCTCCTCTCAGCCCGTGCAGGGACACGATGGTTTCCCAGCCACCGGCCGGGGGTTCAGTGCCTGGTCTGGGGCATTGACCTGGCACCAGCCCCACAGCCTTTGGAGGAGCTGGAGTGGGCACTTGGGCTCCCTCCACATCACTCTCCTGAGCTTCCCTGCCTCCCCTTTCCTTACTTATTTTATCTGCTAGAAGATGGCACGGCAGTATCACGGGCATTGGAATAGGCTGCCCAGGGAGGTGGTGGAGTCACCATCCCTGGATGTGTTTAAGGGACACTTAGATGGGGTACTGAGGGATATGGTGTAGGGGAGGACTTGTAGAGTAGGGTAGATGGTTGGACTCGGTGATCCCAAGGGTCTCTTCCAACCTGAATGATTCTATGATTCTATCTTTTATGAAAGAATTATTATCACCACTTGCAGGATTTTCCAGCCTTCAGTTACTCCATTTTTCCAGTGAGAAACTGGTCTGGCCATGGGAACTGCAGCTTCCCCACTGCCTCCCCTCTCCCTGCCTCTTGTCAACTGGGGGTTTAACGCCTGGAAACACACAGCTGGTCTCAGCTGTAGGCTCCCCCCGACCAGTTTCAGACTGTGTAACTCTCAGTAGCTTTTCTCTTAAAATGGAAGCCTTTTTACCAACCTCAAAACATCTAGAAGCCAAGAAAAATGAGGGTACTTGGGTATTGGCAGGGCATTGGAACTAGAGGATCTTCTGGGTCCCGTCCAATCCACCCCATTCTATGATAATGTTTAGTGAAATCTTTTCTGTATTCTGTGGAAGGGATTGCATCAGGTTATGAGAGTTTGTTCATGTCATTGGCTTGTTTGTGGCCAAACTGGATTGTATATTAATGAAGCCAAGCTTTAACATACTGGGGGAAGAAGTGGGTTATGAACTGGACTGCTTCTGATCTTGAGCTTTTTCTCATTGAAATAGCCCTGTTCTAAGAATAGAGGTATTGATTTTTGGTGGCTCTGCGTGCGAGGCGGCCTCCGCAGCGAGGGAGGGTTTCTGCTGCAAATGAGATGAGACCCCGTCCAGCCCCACAGCCCCGTGCCTTGGTGGATAATTTAATGCCTGGTGCTGTCTAGCGTTCACCTAAGCTGTGTGAGGGTTTTTTCCTTGCTGCTGGGAAGGCAGTATTCTACTAAAATGGTTATAGTGGAATTTTCTACTTAATAGAAGTTTGCCCAGATTGTCTGTTTCTGCCCGCAGCGCCCGGAGCGGCTGTTGGTGTCGGGGGGAACCAGATTGGGGTCAGAGGGAGGGGGAAGCCTGGTAGATAGAGCTTCTGCTGGAACAGCTGGGAGAATACTTGGGAATCTGAATATACATGAACCAGAAAGAGCCCACAAAGCACAATCCATTTTTAAGTAGAACTCCTTATTGATTTAACTGGGGGAGACCTGAGAAAAATCGATGACGTGCAGCAGTTTTAGGAGGCAGCACCACGTGTTCTGGGTGTCACGGCCACCGGCCCACAGCTAATCAAGCTGGAAACGAGCAAGCCTGGAACATTCCGAGGCCAAAGAAAAGGTGTCAGAGCTCTGAGAAGCAGCAAATTTACTATTCACATCCCACAAGAGATAGTGAAGTATGACCTTGTTCATTCGAGCTTTAACTTCCAAGTTGCATTTTATTGCTATTGAAAAACAAAAAACTATAAAGGAAAATATAAAGGTTTCTGGGGACGTGTAAACAGAGGCCTGTTCGTGCAACAGGAGCAAATGGAACTGCTGAAATCATCAAAATAGTCTGAATTATTCTGTGGGATTTGAGCCCATCCTTCAGCTCAGGCGGTTCCTCTGGACTCGGGGCGGGAGGGTCCCGACTGAAGCAGAGAGATGGGAGGTCAGTTGTGCCAAACAGTGATTCTCCTGGTGTAGGGGTACAGTATTAAGGATGCTGATGCTGTCCTGGCTGTGTCTGAGTTTAACACTTCGTGAGACAGAACAAAGCCAGGGATTCTGCCACGTTCCCCCGGAGCAGAGGCCGCCTGAAGGCAGAGCTCGTCCCTCTCAGCCCCGCTCCGGCTGACGACGGTCCCACCACCCACAACAGCCCCTCGCTGGGAAATACACCAGGAGTGTGTGTTTGCCCAGGGAATTCCAGCACACGGTGTGACTGTGTGGACTGTCACACACCCGTTAAACCTCAGTGTGGACGCTCAGTGGGTGCGAGGTAACGGGATGCTGCTTCGCTCTGCTCTTCTACGCTTAATTAACACAACGGCTGATCTTTGAAGGAAGGGTGGTGTAAGGAGGGCTCCGTGAGGAAGAGCTCAGCTCACCCAGTGCAGACAAGCTCTAGGTCCTGGAGAGCAAGGACCCGCCTCAGAAAGGACCTGCTGTTATGCTCTTCGGCTCTAAAAATGATAAATTTCAATGAGAAATTGAGATTTTTTACATTGGGTAAAAGTAATCATGGGCTAAAACATTTACTTTAAAAATTGCCCTTGTAAAAATATTTCAATTTGAAGTTTAATGCACGACTGACGAGGGCTCCACGAGGAAGAGCTCACCCAGTGCAGACAAGCTGTAGGTCCTGGAGAGCAAGGACCTGCCTCAGAAAGGACCTGCTGTTACGCTCTTCGGCTCTAAAAATGATAAATTTCAATGAGAAATTGAGATTTTTTACATTGGGTAAAAGTAATCATGGGCTAAAACATTTACTTTAAAAATTGCCCTTGTAAAAATATTTCAATTTGAAGTTTAATGCACGACTGAATAATTCATGCTATTACATGTGTGCAGTTGTTAGGAAGGTGGCCTGTATTGCTCTAATTTATTTTCCTTTCCATTTGAGAGTACCTTATAGCAATTGAAATGTATCTTATTAGGGAAATAGAGCTTCCGTATAATTAAAGCTACGTAGCACACTGTGCCACCCAGCCCTGAAAACACAGCATGAAATTTTGGAAGGAAAACCTGAGGAATTCCTCGTAGCAAACTGCTGAAGAGAGGGATTGCTCCCGAAGGGAAGCCGTGGGAAGGTGTCACTTGATTGATCCACAGGAGGGATCGTATGAGAGATAATCAAGTTCTGTAGCCTTTGTTGCTGAGAACTGCATCTTTTGTAAGTTAATACAAAATGATTTCAGTGCTTTTAAGGAAGAGGTTAATGAAGGTGTTAGTTTGTCGGGGGACTGGGCGCTGTGCTGGTGCGATGGGAGATGCCGCAGGGAGCCGTGGGGCACCGTCAGGATGTGTGTGTCTGTTCTTCTGCTGGGGATGCCAAACCCAGATCGTAGTGTTTACAGTCTGCAGAATTTATTTATTTATTTCTACAAAACGATTCCTGCTGGATGGTTGGGTGGAATTTCCTGCTGCTGTCAAAGCTCAGCTATTGCACACTGGCCTGTTCCCTGCAGGATCCAGAATCCTCCTCAAGGAGTTTTCCTGTTGGCGTTTCCTCTGCCCTTGTTCCTTCCCTCCTTAAAGCCTTGTTTCACTGCTTCTGTCCAGAGGAACAAAAAAACCCCAACCAGCCTTTTTATTTGTTTCTTTTGACACCAGCACAGTACGTCTGTCCCTGCCTAGGAGAGAACTATATTGAAATAGCTTTCTTTGTGAATTCCTCATTGCTATTCATTGGTGGGGATTGTCACGTAAGGGTCAAATTAGAGCTCAGTCAACCAGAGCAGCAGCGCAAGGAGCCAGGCTCGAGATAGGTTTCGCCATAAGGTCTGAAAAGCAGTTTATTTGGAATTTGTAATGTGTAATATATATATTTATTTCATTTTATTTTCCAAAGTGTTGCTTTTTTGTCTGTAGAAACCGAATTATGCTTTATTTATTCTCTCTGGTCATTTACTTGAGAATTAGTCTTTCTCTCGCGCTGCCTCCTGACTTCCATCTTTGGGCATATCTTCATGTGCTTTTGTTACATCGAGTAAGTTTTAGGCATAGAATTTACTTCTGTTAGTTTTAAGAAAAACGAGTTTTCTGGCTGACGGTTCCGTGCCCTTTGAGATTGGATCTATGCAAAGAAAGGATTGTATTTCTGGTAATTTGGCTGAAATGCAAGGAATTGTGTTTATGCTGGCTGCGGGAAGGCAGGCGGTACCTGGTCAGGCATGAAACCTGCTGGGGCAGAGTGACTCGCTGAAAATGTTCAAAAGCATTTGTACCAGGAAAGGGAGTTTGTCCCAGCTCTGCTCTCCCTGCCCCGTGGCTGCAGTGTTTTGGATGTGGCAGGAGTTTCCAACGGGACACGCTGCTGGGCAGAACCTGCCTCTGCCCAGGGGACACTGTTCTGTCCCAGCTCCAGCAAAAACAGGTACTAAATTTGCCGTCGCTGACCCAGAGAAGTTTTGGCGCTAAATGTTTTGAGGCAAAACAGATCAGAGATTTACAGAGCTACGCAGAGGAGCTAAAATATCCCCAAACCTGCTTTCACTTGGGTTTCGTGGAGGATTAGGTTATGGACAGGTAGGACAAAGCAAGGGGCCGTAAGCTGCTGTGTCTGTGGGCAGTGAGCGTGCCCTCTCGGATGGTAGCGATGGAATGATCTGGAGTTGTTTGGCAGCTCCAGATCCATCACAAACGGGACCTCAAGTTGCGTGCCTAAATAATTATTATAATTTCTGAGAGTGTCATGTGTTATGTTTCTGTGTTTTAAAATGTTTGGCTACGATATCCGGTTTCATAGCATCCAAAATCCTGGTTCCAGTCCAGAGTTTCCCCTGACTGAGGGCATGAACAGAAGTCTCATAGGAACGTGCAAGTGTTGATCACTGATAACAAATCAGATTAACCACTTTGGGGTTTTTTTCCTTAAGGATTGGCTTTCTCAGGATTGGCTTCTCTGAATATTGTTTCTTCTTCCTCCAAGTTAGGAGGAAGACAGTGTAATAAATAATTTATTGGACATAGTGAGGAGAACCTGGGAGATGGCTGTACAAAAGGGCTGTAATACCTTATTAACTAACTCTGTCTTCTCTTTCCTCTCTCTCGTAGCTGGTTCTGCTCCGGGCTGCTCTCCTGCTTTGTCTGTACTTTTCTGGCCTTAGTGGGTGATGTCCCAGCAGCTCTAACGCTCCAGCCCCAGTAACCCATAGGTGTGTATGGCTTGATTTCTTTGCATGCTTTCCCACCTTGCACGGGGGATAACGCTCATTTTATGCTACTCATCCCTTGTGGCACTTCAGGGCGGAAACATAATTAGCATGTGTTCTGCTTCGGTTCCATAGATTATTTAAGCCCCATTTTTGCTTTTATTCTGGTGGTTTTCTTCCCTGTAGAAGCACGTAGCCCCTGTTCCCATGCATGCTCTTTGTGTTTGCTGGACGTGCCAGCCTCTTGCTGCTCATCATAGCACCATGGCTTGTCGGCAGGACCTGGGGGGGCTGGACGGGGAGGTGGGACAGCACTGGTGGGACAGCTTGGCTCAGCTCTCAGACTGTCGGACTTGACGCCCCTTAATCTCAAGGTCTCTTTGAAGACTCTTGACAGTCAGCTATGTCCTGTATCAGCAAAATCAGTGTGCAGAGGTAACTCACTTTCTCTGCAGAGAACCCAGTGCCTGTAGGCACGTCGGTGTTCCCAAGAGACCTCCAGCTTGGGCATGAGGGGGGGTTAGTGGTGCATAGGACCCCCATTTGGGGGTGATTCTCCTCATCCCTGTGGAGCACTTCAGCTGGATTGACTTGCCGGAGGCCCTTTGATGTGTTAGTTCTTCATATGAACAGTGAGAGAAACCAGATCCTCTTACTTTGCTCCATCCCCAGAGCAGCACCGCTGTTTGGAGTCCCGTGGGCAGGAAGGATTTGCTGCTGTCAGCGCAGCCTCTGACACTCTGTAGGCAAGTGTTGGCTGTGTTTAGAAGTGCAGCCTAAGGAATAATCTTTACCTGCCTGCTATTGGTCTCATATTTTCATTTATTTACACCCTTTTCGATGCACTTTAATTTACTTACAAACGGTAGCAAATTGCAAGTGGCAGCCTGAGTAACTAACTCATGAGTCAGTACTTTTATTTTTCTCCTCTAGTCTAGACTGCTGATAATGTAAATTGTTGAAACCCTGGGTAAATAATTGGGAGTGCAATCAACAGCAAGCGAGTATTTATCTGCTAATAAAACATTTGAAATGCAGAAGTCTGTCTTTGTCCAACAGTTCTTAAAAGGCAGTTATCAGCCCTGCTGCTGTTCCTGCATAGCAATTAGGATTTTTATGGTCACTAATTCTACATCTGAAAATTTATACAGTTTATTTTCTGCCTGTGTTTTTCTTTGCACAGAGAAAAGAAGCACAATATTTATGGTTGTAAGGAGGTTAACGTTATATTTTCTGCATGGAGATCTCTGTGGCTCCCTAGAGATTTGTACCATTTATAGAACCCAAATTTTCTAGGTTCCCTCATGTGTGGCATCGAGGGCTTACAGCTCATTAAGGATTTTCTGAATGGGATCTTTGTCACATTCTCAGAATGTGCCTTGAAAGTTATATACCAGCTCAGTCATCAACTGTGAGTTTTATTATTAAAGCTGTTACTGCTTCAGAATCTGCATTAGAGGAGGCGCTTCTCAATTTTTCATGCTGCTGTTGGTAGTGCTTTTGCTTAGGACAGAAACTTGCATTGCGTATTCTAAAGAGAACCTCTTTTTTTAAAATTTAGTCGTCTTCTTCCTGGATCACCCCTGGAGATCCCAGTGGTGCCGTCACAGCTGGCGGGTGCAGGGGGGTCCCACAGTCCCTCCCACACCACACAGCCTCCCCACGAGCTGGGACCCTCCTCTGCAGCCCCGGCGGCTGCAGGGGGGTCCCGCAGTCCCTCCCCACGAGCTGGGACCCTCCTCTGCAGGGACCTGTGCTCTCTGAAGGCTTCATAGGCTCCTGATAACCTCACAAAAACAAGGTTTTGAGCAGAACATCTCGAGTTGGCAGCTTGGTCTGTATTTGACTAGTTTGCGACATCCGGAAAACCCTTCGGTGGTTTTTGGTTTTCTTTCAGAATCCCAATGGAGGTGAAATCAATGCAGAAGTGAGAACAGTCACTTCTGCTGAGTCTGAAAACCTGAAGGGCTCAAATCATGGTTGTGTGTAAACATTCTGAGATTGATCCGTGGTCGTCCTTACGCTGTTTCCAACGTGATTTCCTGTCACCCTGGTTCCTTTCACCAGCAGCTCCCTCAGAGCTCGCGATGACCCTCAGAGCTACTGCAGGTCATTTCCCATGAAATCAAGGTGTGTGTCATGGGCTTTGGGGCTGCTGCTTCTGCCCCACTCTCTGCTGGGCCTGTTGGATCATTTCAGCCACGTATGATAAAAGAAGGGAGACCTCAGGGCTACTTAGGAGTTTCCAACAAACTGTGTGAAAAATGCAGCTTAATATCTATTAATATCCCTCTTTGGGGAGTGTAACAGTCCGTGACCCGTTACCATCAGCTACCAAAGCACCAGCACGGGGGGGAGGTGGGAATTGTCAGAGACCTGGAGAACACGGCGGGCGAGAGCGTGGGTCGAGGAGGAGCCCAGGGCCTGGCTCTGCCAGCGCTTGAGGAAACCCGTGTTGTAGATGGAAAACAAAGAATCTCTGGCAGCAGGAAGCGTCGCTGCCGATTTGCACATCAAGGGACAATTCCTGGGGACGTAGCACAGAACATGAACTGGTCTTGAATGAGAGGAGCTGGAGAAGATCCTGCCCCTGCTCATCTGGGAGCAGATCCAGGTAGTTCTGTAGTGAGCAGTAGTGACCAGAGACTTGTGTCACTTAGTGAAGGGCTTCTGCTGAAGCCAACATTTACCCTTATGTTACGCTGCTGATTTTATACTCTTCTGAAACCATTTTAACTGCTGTTCACGCTGTAGATCTGTGGAAGGAGCAGGAGTCTCGCTGCAGGCACCACGCAGGTGGGGGTAGGGTTTTAACGGCACCACGTAACCCTGCTAGAGGGACCTAAGGCAGAAGATACATCCCATCTAGCTGGTTTCTGGGTTCTTCTTTTCCCTGTGTTGAGACACAAGCAGTTTTTTGTGTGTTTTCCATGGACGATGTTTGATTTGGGCTTTTTCATTTGCATTATTGGTGAACGGCTGCATGAGGGGCTGCTGCATTGGCTGCCACGAAACCATCGGGCGCGTTTCAACTGCCATTGCACTGTCTGCATCTGAAAATATTTTCCATATTACAGTGTACGCCTGTAATTTAAAAGTGAAAATTATTTTCAGCTACTGTCTGCTTCATTTGGGGGGGAGAGGTGTCCGTTCACTTGGGAAAAAAATGGACACAACTGTTTTATTGTGTCATGAAGTTTCTGTCTTTAAAAATGTTAGACTTCTCACTCGTGCTGTTAAAGACAAAAATTCCAGGTGTCTATAATGAGAAAGACCGTGTTCCTCATTCCCTCCAAAGCTGTATTTTTAAATATATTTATTTTGAGTCCATTATTATTTGCACAGTGAAATTAGCTTTGCAAGAGGGATGAAAACCCTTGTCAGAGCCGTTCTAGCAAAAAGATCAAAGGAATTAAATATAAATTCTCTCCAAGGTGATCCTGTGGGTTTTTTTCTTTTTTGAACAGGGAAGCCTTGGATTAATTACTTTTAATTTAAAAGCAAATCAATGGATGGAGAGGAATTCTTGTCAAAGAGCGCTGCAGTTTGCTTCTTAGAGTGAGCAGTCCTTCGGCGGGGTGACTAACAATGTGCATTTTTATTTTTAACCCGTGCCCTCCCCACCCCTCCACCTAACCCTTTCCATTTGCCCCGGTCAGTCAACAGGCGGGAGCATTTGCAGAAATCATGGATGACTATGATATCAGGTCCGCTGCCAGCATTTTAGCCTCCGTTAAGGAGCAGGAGGCTCGTTTCGAGCGGCTCACCCGGGCGCTGGAGGAGGAGCGGCGCAATGTCTCCCTGCAGCTGGAGCGTGCCCACCCGCCCGCCGACCGCCTCAGCATCTGCAACATTGGCAACGGGCAACCACTGGCCACTGCCTGGCAGCAGCTGGTCCTGCAGGTAACGGCCTGCCCCTTCTACCTCTTCCTAGAGTCCACCCACACCAGAATTTCCCATTCCAGAGTCCGGTGCATCACGTTTGCCATCGGCGTTGTCTGCTGGTGCCACTGTGCTTCAGCGATTCCCTTCCCAGCTCAGACCTGAGCCTTCCTTAGAAGTTGCTTTTACTTCCCCTGAGCTCATGGGGGGATGCTCTTAAACATCTATGGGATGCTTTTAAACCTCTATGCATCCTTGAGCATTAAACCCCACAGAGAGACCTTCACACCCTCCTCCAGCTCTGTGCGTTTTTTGATGTGCTGGGGATGCCAAAAGAAGGCTGAATCATAATCTCCATAGCAAACAGAATTTCCATTAGAAATAGTTGGACTGTGAATAGAGGGAACAGCATGAAAAGCAGGGAGTTCCCTCCTGCGAAGCCTTATTGTTCGTGTAGGGAGGATTTCATATTTGTTTCTCATGTTTATTGACTTGATAGACTTTATTCTAACGATGCAGATTGGCTTGGTGGGAGCCGTGGATTTCCAAATATCGGTTTGCTTGATATGTGGTTTTTAATGGTTTAAATGTTCAATGATAAACTACTTACACGGCCAGATTACGTCAGCTCTCAAATCCCCCGACATGCAAGGTAAGTCATGCAGAAGCAATCGGGCCGTTTGTGAAGCTCTGCTTCCTGAGAAAACATTGTTCAGTTCAGAAACTCCAGGCTACGGGGGCTCTAAAAGTTGTTTCCCAATTGTACCAGCCTGTTTTACAATTATACTTGCATTGAGCTGTGTTGGGGCAGATTTTACATTTCATTAGCGTGGCTTTTCTGGGAGCGGTGCCGTGTTCCTGTACGTGCTCCTGCCCAAACACGGGACGGGACGCGAGGAGCAGCCCTGGGCTGGGAGCTGGGGGGGCTGGGGGTTGTTACCCTCCTGCTCAGCAGAGGGGAGATGTGCTCACCTAGTATTTTTTTATAGAAAGAGGACGAATTCACCTTCACTTTTTCTGACTGACTTTGTGCAAAGTGCCTGATTAATAGCTGCAGAGTGAAATTCCTTACCCACAAAACTGATGAAGCATGAGTTTTCTGCAGCGTTATGGCTTCAGGTCTGACCACTTCCAAGAAAACTTAATAAAAGAGCTGGAGTTACTGGTGTCTACGTGACTCTTACCCAGAACCAGCCCCTGTAAGTGACCCCGGACTGAATCTGTGTACTCTCAGCTTATGGCCCCTGCGCGGCGGGGGAGCTTTTGTCCATACTTAGTGTTGAGGTTTTTAGAGTAACTTGTATTTGAAATAAAATGGTTGATCAACTAAATATGCACAGTTAAGAATTAATGCAAGGTTATTTGTGTGAATTTTCATCAAATGTACTGAGGGCCAAGTTCCTCCCTGACTTACCAGAATGCATTAAATAGTGTATAACTGAAGGTACCTGTGTTTTGGTGAGGACTGATGGATTCCTGCCTCTCACCCCCACGGCCGCCTGTTGTCAGTTCTGGGACAGAATAACTCTGGTAGTAGCTTTTCCATTCGGAAGTTGCACAGGTGATTGCACATAATCTAGTTATTCTCAGCAGAATTTGGGCAAAACCTGAGGTTTACTTCCATTTTATGAGAATGACCTTTAATGATCTCCACCACCAGGCGTTGGTCCGTGTTGTTCCTGAGGGATTTGGTGGGGGAGGCTGCTCCAGCTTCGAGTGCTGGGAGCCACCTGGCTTCTCTCTGAAAGGGAAAATCTGGTTGTACTAAAAAGAGCAGAGCTGTCTGTTAATTGGTATTTGTGTTTACTTCACTAATTTTTGCAGTAAAAAATGGGTTTTTGGGTGTTACAGTACCCCAGGCTGTGGGGGTCTGGGCAGCCTTTGCCCCTTACCAGTTTACCAGTACAGGCATAGTCCAGTAAGCTTCTCTCTCACTGGTGGGCAGCCCCTGTCGTGTCTGCTACATGTTGAAGTATCTGGTTGATAATGTTTTTTACAAGCTTGATGAATCTCAATACTCTTCACGTGTGAGGTCTTTGGTTTAATCCACCTGCTTCTATTTCACTTCTTTTCCAATCAGCCTTTTGCTCCCTGTGGGCGCCGAGGCTGGGCAGGGAGATGGGATGTGGGGTGTGCGGAGCTGCTGGTGCCACGGGGGCCAGCCCCACATGGTGTGGCTTTCTCATAATAAAGAATATGCTCTCTCTCTTTTATTTTTTTTTTAACTTCTATTAAGATAAGGATTAGCTCAAATTGCTTTTCTAAGAAAATACCATCAAATTAACCTTTCTGAGGTGTGGTTTGAGCAACAGTAACCCTTCTGTCCCCATTTCACTACTTTTATTTAAGATTCTCTGCCCCACACTGGCACAGTGCAGGCTGTTAGAACACACAGACCGTTTCCAGTGCTGTGATAGAACTTGGGTGCATTAACATTGTCTAAGTGTGCCCGTATGCAGAGAGAGCAGAAATGGGTCCTGAGCTGCACTGAGTCACCAGATCAGCACCTCCTCCTCTCCATCTCATCCCAAATACAGTTCCATCTTTGCATTTGATGTAATTAGTTGTAGTTTGCAGTGCCTCGTGGCTTCCTTTGCTGTATCACATATTTGTGCTCATATTAAGGGACTGACAGCACGGAAAATGACATTATTTTTCTTGCCTTACAGGTAAGGTCAGGTACAGACAACAACGCTGTCGGTTCATGACAGCTCCCGGTGTGACAGTACTATCTCCTGTTATAATGCCAAATACCCAGGAAAAACCTCCTCCGTAGTTAACCCGTGCGTGTGCTGCTTCTGCTGGTACTGAGCACATTGCAAAATGGTGCAGGACTTTGTGGGGATAGTTCTAATTCCTGTGTGAAACCAGTTGAATCCATAGAAATGCAAGTTGGGGTTTGGTGTCGGTGCCGCCGAGGCTCTTCTCCTGCTGGTTCCTGCTCTGGGCTCCTCTCGGGGGTTCAGCTCTGCCCTTCTCCTGCCCAGCAGCCCCCCCGGGCCATGGCCATGGCCAGCAGACTCCGTGCCCACCACTCGTCTCTCTGAGTTTCTAGGAATGGCCTGGGTCAGGTTTCAGCTGCTGCGTGTGAGCAGCTCCGCAAGGGTGCCAGGGGGATGGAGGGGGGGGATTTGGGAATATGATTCCCATGGGAGAATGAGTTCCTGGCTCAGAGTTCAGTGAGCTGGGAGGTGTTTGCAGCCCCTACGAACCCCAGCGCAGGCAGGGGCTGGACCAGAACCCGCTTTTCAAGGAGATGTGTCCCCACACGTGTCCCATCCCTGGAGGGGATCACAGTGGAGTTCAGCTCAGAGGCTGGAGCTTCTGCCACGGTTTTTTATGGACATTGTCCCATCTCCATGAAAGCACCAACTCCTGGTTTATGGTGAGAGTCAGTATCTTCTGCTGGTGCCTCTGCAGATGCTCGGGCAGCCGGCTCCTTACGGGAGTTCAGCAGCTCTCCTGGAATTGCTGCAGGTGTTTCAAACCCAGACTTCCCAAGGTGACAGCACGGCATGTGAGCTCGAGGAGCTCCTGCTGTTTGCCTTTCTGCCGGGATTACCCAAATCCCAAAAGAAATCCTGCTTCCTGCATTGCAGCAGGAACGTGGAAGCACCAGGCTGGTGAGAACAGAGTCTGTGGCACAGGCACCACGGGGTGTGTTGTAGGAGAGCCCCCGAGAGGGACACTCCAGGAGTATTCCTGTGAGAACTTACATGTCCTGCTGCTTCTGTTTCTTGTTAGAGCTTCTCCCCTGTGAGCGTTCTTCAGGCTTCATTTAAGGCCTTAGATGGTAAAAACATGGATACCAAAGTGAATGGGAATAACATCAATTTCAGCAACAATAGAGAAGATTTGACCCCCTGCATCAGAAGCTGTGAAGTGCTTTCCAGAAGGGATTTATTTGATAAGCAAACCACCTAAACCTCGCTGATTGGAGTTATCTGGGGCTCAGATCTGCTGGCAGGCAGCACTATCCACTCCAGAGCTGATGCGTTAGATACCTGAGAAGTGTTTACAGAACCACAGAATCACATGGGGTTGGAAGGGACCTCTGGAGATCACCCAGTCCAACCCCCTGCCAGAGCAGGGCCACCCAGAGCAGGTCCCACAGGAACGTGTCCAGGTGGGGTTTGAATGTCTCCAGAGAAGGAGACTCCACCACCTCTCTGGGCAGCCTCTGCCAGGGCTCTGCCACCCTCAAAGAAGTTTTTCCTCATGTTGAGATGGAACTTATGTTCAAGTTTGTGCCCATTTCCTCTTGTCCTGTCCCTGGGCACCACTGAGAAAAGACTGGCCCCATCCTCCTGACAGCCCAGAGCCACGGCCACCTTCACCCTCAGCAGCTCACAAGTATTTTTGCATTTTCGTTTGCTTTGAAAAGTCTCAACTTCTTTTGTTTTGTGTGATTTATTTTTTTTATTGAATTAGGTTTTGGAAGCAAGTGAAAGGCAGGGATTTTCTTATTTTGTTTGCCAAGATCTGTGAAAGAGAAGTTTCCCCAGCCGTTAACCTCTCCGGCCTGGAGCTGTGCCAGGTTTAAATTAAAATTCTTTCATTTGAATGACAAATTCACAGTTTCATAATGATTTTCCATGATTTTACATTACTAGTAGAACTATGTTTTCTGCTAGAAGAGAAACACATTAAAAATAAGTTCTGCTTGCTGTGTACCTCAGAATGGGAACAGGCGTCTGGGCTGTTCCTTGCGTGACGCCTCCGAGTGTTGTGAGAGCAGCGAGTGCAAGGGCAAGGAATTATTAAAAATGTCTTGAAACAGGGACATTCAAATGTAAACATGAAAACATTAAAGAGTAATATCAGGTTTAACAGGATTTAAAAACAAAAAAACTTTCTAGTCCCATTCACCACATTTGCTTCTTGGTAATTAACATGCAAACACCTTACATTGTGGAGCTGTGATTTCTGTCTCGTGCTCTGCTCGTTGGCTGCTCCTCAGCTCCGGCACCACGACGGGATTCATTCTACTGGCTTGTTTAGATTTTTACTTCCACCTTTCA